AAAAAAAAAACGACTACAAGAGTTATTGCTTGTTACTGCTGGAAAGAGGTTGGGTGACTATTCCAAAGTTTGTTGACTTTTTCGTTTGGACTTTTTCTCTCTTTTATTTCTTGGTGTGTTTGTGCTGTTTCTGTGGACAGCTCTAAAGTAGGCAAGTGCAGGATGGCTTGTTGTAGCTGCTTGTCGAGGGGAAAGAAACCAAAATGAAACACACACACGCGCGCACACACACACACACACACAGTTACAATTTCCACTCTTTGAAAATGCACTGAGCACCCACATTCGATAGGAATGTTTTTTTTTCCCTCCATATATTTTTCTGGGGGTTGTTTTCCTCCACACTTGGTTGGAAACAATCATAACAGACATGCTTTGTTTGCTTTAAAAGCTTAGTGGTTGTGTATCTGATCTGCTTCCCCATTGGTTTGTTTCACAATAGCACCAATTCAAGTGTTCGAGCTTCTGCGGTGTCAAGCAGAGGTGATGAAGAAAAAAAACCCTAAAAAGACGGGGGTTCAATCAGGAATCAGGGGCTGGACAGATGTTTTATCAGCTGTGTTGATATGGCAAAGTTCACCCACAGTGTTCATTGAAGTCCAGATTAGATGTGCTCCTGATTATCCCGGCCCAACACCACATCAGGATGGGATACGAAGGATCAGCTCAAAAACACACACACACACACACACACACACACACAACAGGGAGAACTCGGAATTATTTCAATATTTAAGTGCATTTTGGATCAAATTGGGGATCGCTCGTGAATTAAAAAATCCAGAAATTTTAAGGTTTTGGAGTAAAAAGGAGTAAAATCAATCATCCATTTCAATTGCAAGGTTTAAAAATCACGATGCTGTATAATTTTTTCATCTCAACCAAGTTGCTGACCTCCCTTTAAAAGAAGAGAAGAAGGTCAGAACCAGTCTCACATCACTGTGAATGGGTCCCTGGTATTTGGCAGGGAGGGCAACTAAAAGGCCGGGAGCAGGAGAAGGGGGCGCTGCTCAGCCATTAGCTGGGACCCTGGGTGTCGTCCGAGGTGAATGGGTGTATGCGTGTAGGCATGGCTGTATGGATAAACAGATGGGAGGGCGAGTGGGTTTGGCAGGGGGGGCGGTGGCGATGGTGGTGGGGCGTACTGGCGGTGAGGGGCTCTATGAGGAGAAGGCAAGTTTGACACTGCAGGAGGAGTAGCCCTCGTCGCTGGCCATGCTCTGCAGGCTGCTGTGGTCGTCCAGGTCGCTGGTGCTGGCCGTGCTCACACTGTCCAGCTCTCCATGGGAGAACTCTGTGCTTTCCACGTCCACCTCGATCTCCTCTGCAGCCAAGAATGGAGAGATGGAATCAGAGAAGAAAGAAAACAATCAATTCAACTGAGACTAAGAAACTGATTCTGTGAAGTACATTTGTGGCAATGACGTATGGAGAGGTGGAAAATAAAGTCATGTCAGGATACACAGAATCATCTAGAAGCAGATTTTAGTAATTTAATTTTTAAAATGTAATACAGATACCCAGTGTAGAAGTGAGTAAAAATCTTTATAGGAAGAAATCTGGCTTTGGCTACACAGGCACTGGTGTAGTCAATTTATTTTGATAATAAAAACATAGAATATCAGTATATTTATCCTTTACACAACATAATATTAGGTAGAGCAATGTAGCTTTATTATACAATGCTGATAAAAAGTCTTGTCTTGCAGAACGTTATAACAGTATATGTCCATTGAAAATCAATTTGACCCGTATTAGTCAGAATACAAAATATAAAATATCATATAAATAACTTGTGTCGGCTTTAACATATGAATGTTGGATACTACAAGATCCTTACTTTCAAGAAGCACTTTGAAAATGAAATCCCTATCCATCCAATCTGTTTATTATTTTCACTTCACATATATTCTCAGAGCGGCTGCAACCAGTACAACCTGAGTATTGTCAAATTAGCCTGAGAGCAGCTGCAGGATTTTGACTGGCTAAATCAAAAAATCCTGTTGAACAACCTAACTCACCTTGGTCAGAGTCAGAGCGGTCGGAACAGAGGGTGGAGCCCACGCTGTCCATACGTATCCTCTCGCCCTCTCCTGGGCCATTCTGGGCGACAGCACCGCTGCCTCCCCTCAGCAGCTCCAGCTGACGGTGGAGGTGCCTCTGCTCACGCTCCAGAGACTCCAGCTGGTACTGGCTCTTCCTGTCCGCCTCTTCAAGTTTCTGACAGGGGAGAAAGCAGAGGGGGGGGTGGAGAATAGGTGAATTATTTGGTTGAGCATGTGCGCCAGAAAAAATGTAAAGGTGAGACAAACAAATAGTGGGTGATGGAGGAGATAGGGGGACAGGCTGAGGGCGAGACGGTTACGAAAAATAGAGCAGATAAGAGAAGTAGAGCGAGAGGAACACCTTAAGAAAGAATGCAGATACTGAGCAAATAGATGTTGTTGGTCTGTACGGAAATTCCTGTCCTATTGAAAAGCTGTTTAAATATAAACAACCTCAACCTCCTGTTTCAAATGTGTTGTGTCCACGCAGATCTTTGGAAAATGATTTCACTTCACCTTCCGTGTTGACCCCACGTGGACTCTTCTGTACTCGCTACCTCTGTCAACTTCTTGTGCCATTACAATGTAAGCAAGGAGCATGGCAGGGCCTGATACGGTTCATGTTGTAGCTCTAACCTTGTGGCCTTGTGACACTGCAGCCGACAGTGACGAGCGTGACTCCCGGAGACAGACCAAAACAATTGGCCGTCAATAAGTGATGAAGAGACTGTGACTGCAGAAGTGTAGAGTGGTGGCAGTAATAGAGAAAGAGAAAGAGAGTGTCTGTGTGTGTGTGTGTGTGTGTGTGTGTGTGTGTGTGTGTGAGAGAGAGAGAGAGTGTGTGTGTGTGTGTGTGTGTGTGTGTGTGTGTGTGTGTGTGTGTGTGTGTGTGTGTGTCTGTGTGTGTGTCTGTGTGTGTGTCTGTGTGTGTGTCTGTGTACAACAACAATATGGGCTTTATGCTCCCCCCTGTCTGTTATGTGAAAGCACGCTACCCAGGACTTTTCACATGCAGCCTGCTCAGCCTTAGTCACATGCCTGTTGTTAGAGTGGATGTGAAGGCACGAAGCTGATGTCTTAACATGTAACAGGATTATCAGGCAGAGAAATCATCATTCGTGGCTACAGTTTGAATCTATAATGTATTATTTATTCACTTATATACAACAAATTTTGTATTATTTTATTCAAGATTGTATTTTTATTTTATTTTACAATTTTCAGAAATGTTTTTCTTTATTTTACCTTACCAATTCAAATCAACATCCTGCCTACAGCCAAATCTTTCCATCACAGAGGCTAAACAGTGCAGGGGTTCCCCTCATTTAATTTGTTCCGTTTCATGACTTACTTACTAATGTTCATATAAGATTCTTACTGACTAGATTAAAACCTGCAGTAAAAACCCACACTGCAGTCAATAACAGCAATCTGGGTTTCTGCAGGTTTCAACAAGTTCAATTTAAGTTTTTAAGATCATAACAAATTAAATTTAAGATCAATGTTTGAGTTGCAGGTAGACCTGGCTTGTCTGCCTGCTGGTGCCATCCGACCTTTGCTGCTCACCCAGAATGCAGCAGCTCAACTAAGGCACTAGTAGTTGCGTACCGTGCTGTGAATGGATCCGGTCCAGTCTATATCCGGGACATGGTCAAACCTTACACCTCAGCCCATCCTCTCAGCTCTGCATCTGCCAATCGGCTTGCTGCTCCCTCACTGCGGACTAACCACTCAACAAAATCACAACTGTTTGCTGTCCTGGCTCCTAATTAGTGGAACAAGCTCCCAGGACATGAGAAGGTCTACACATCTTCCGCCACAGACTAAAGACACATCTCTTCCGACTACACTTTGGATAAAAAGATGATGTCTAATAACCATCTTCAACTCTGGTTTTATATATATATAAAAAGATTTCAGTTCAGTTGCACTTATATGGCACTTACACGTAGCAATTGTATTGGATTCTTGCTGTTCTGGGTTTGTGGCTCATGGTTGGTGTTCTCAATGCTTTCATTTCAGAGGATGTTCAAATCATCCAGTATTTTGCCACAAATCAAAGATTAGAGAAAGATCCCACCACATTATATCTGGGTCCCTGTTTATAAAACTGTATTTTAAGTATATTCATCTAGCTCCACCTGCTGGTTTTAAAGCTAATTAAGTATTGATTATCTAATGATATATAGCCTAATGATGTAATATAATTATTAGTCAAACGAGTACTTTTACTTCAGCACTTTAAGTTTAACTAAACTGAAACAAAATGGTGCAAAACGATGTGACGAATTACATACACTGGTGGAGGCAATTTGTGCAGTTGGTTACTTAGTAACAGAAAAAACAATGACTAAGGACAGAAATGGTGAAAAGTAAGACTCATTCCCAGACATTTATGTCAGAGAATGTGTGAACAATGGGTCCCAGACTATGGGCAGAGTTTGTCTTTATATGAACAACCCAGCAGGAGATTCTCTGCTCAGAGTGACAAAGAGGTGGAAATGTGGCTGTAAGTGTTGGCAACGATTATAATTCACTGCTGGTTGACTTTCAGTTACACGGTGATAAACCTGTGACAGTGGCAACAGGCAAATTATTTGGGGCTGAAGAAAAAAAGGTTTGGGGATGCAGTCACCGGATGCCAAAGCCAGGCAACACCCATGATAAAATGTAGCAGCAAAGATCAGAACAAATGATTTAGACAAGGAAGTGCATCTGTTTGTATTTGTATCAACATGTTTTATGCATTTAAGCAATGTGTTTTTCTTTCAGTTTTGTTGCAGAACCCTTGTGTCTCACCATATGTGTATTCTCCTTTCGATCTGTGTTTTATATTTGGTCCAGATATGTGACCAGGACCAGCTGTACTGATGCTCTGCTCAGCATTTACCTTTATGTGTGCTTTGGCTTTGTTGAGCAGGCCCAGGGTGGTGTGGCGGTTGCAGTCAGGTCCCAGAGGTATGAGGGCCTTCAACCGCTCCAGACACAGTCGCAGATGAGCTCGTCTGCAAAATAAGACAGAAAGAGACAGAGGAAGATAATGATTAGATAAATCACAGAGGACAATGGGGAAGTTATTGAGGCCTGGACAGTAAAATGCATTCCATCTTGGTTTGTTCAGGCAGACGTGGGTTAGTGACTCAATTCTCTAGATTACTCTTGTATGGTGATTTTTAAGCAGTAAATTCCAGTTTCAAACTAGTTTTTCTAATTTTCAGCCAATTGCTACTTTATACAAACCACCAGATGGTTATTAAAAGTACAGTTCACCCTTAAAAACAGCTATTGAAGTCTTTTCTCTTCTTCCTTTTTTCTGCAGTATAATCTTGCACATTTAACTAGCTAAACACAGATGTCAAGCTATTTATGACTTCAAACCCACCTCGAGCAAAAGCAACAAATTTACAGCTGTTTTCCATGGGCTCTGGTGATTTCTAACACGAGCATCTAATCGCGGATTTCTCCCTTTAAATAAATCTGCGGCTCACCAAAATGTGAAAAGTGTACTGTCACCTTGGGAAGCAGCCTCATTAAGACACACTCGTATTTCTCTCCGAGATCCGGCTCATGTGTTGTAAATCCCCCAGCTTACAGTTCAACAACACAGCAGGTTACATATGAATCATGTCTCACGTAAGCCTCGAGACGCTACATTAGCCTCTGCTGGTATTTTAGTTCTTACAAACAAGTTTTTTGAGAGGGGGGGGGGGGGCACATATGTGTCAGGGCATTTCCTGGACCCTGTTTGTCTTGTACTCGCTCCATCATCCTGACAGTCCCTTATTCTGGACTATCTATCTCGCTAATGGCCCAGAGTCGAGAGGTAAGGAGAGATAATTGTGGCTATAACACAACTAGCGCTCCATTAGCAGGGCCTGCCCTTTCAGCCTTGCCTGGAGGGAATGGTGGAGAGACATTAAGAGTCAGTGGACTCAGTGGAGCGACCCCGGGCTCTAGAACTATCTCTGTGGGGGCCCCAAGGAGATGAGCACTGGGGACCGTGAGCACACCGACTTCACAGGAATAGACTGCTCTGTGCTACGCTCTGCTGGTTTAAGACTGGTGGAGACATGTGAGCGCTGGCTGGAGCATATCTGTCTGTCTGTGTGTGTGTGTGTGTGGAGGGGAGGTTAAGCTATGCATGGATGGTGCTGATAAGAACACGAGAGCAGTGCAAGCCATTAAACCATTACAGTAAGCACAAGTGTGTGTGTGTGTGTGTGTGTGTTTTAAGTACATGAACAAGACGAGTGCTGCATGTCTGGTGCCTGATTCAGTCTGTCGTGCTAAAAGTTTAAAAGTCACAAGACATACATGTGAACACACACACACACACACACACACACACACACACACACACACACACACACACACACACACACACACACACACACACACACACACACACACANACACACACACACACACACACACACACACACACACACACACACACACACACACACACACACACACACACACACACACACACACACACACTTTGAGTTCAGGAGTTTCAATGGTGACTATCAGTCTAGCTCAGGTCATCTGTCTGTGTAATCAGTTCTAGTCACAGTGGAGAGAAGATCTCACCTCTGTTTCTTATCTGTGAAGGGTATATCTGTTTGCCTCATCAGTACCTCCGTACCACATCTTTGTCCTTCGAGTGCACACGTGCGCACACAAAAACACACATACACTCAAACGTCTCCGTCTCTGAGTATTCAAACTAAACAGGGACCAGCAGCATTTCTAAACTTCTTCACTTTAGGTGCTCAAAAAGAGTATAGCAGCAGCGATGCATTTTATTGTACTGTGGATGTAGCCACAGACAGCTGGACAACATGGCTGAATATTTGTCTCAGTGGTTAGAATTCTGTCCATTTTCTGCAATTAAGATTATGATTAATACGTGGTTACATGGAAACAAGCCTTGAAGTGTATTCAACAGCAATTTGCCATATTTTTTATACAAGAATTTTCAAAATGCAAGGAGTATTTCAATGCTGATTTGCCATTAAATTATTTAATGTGCAGCTGTAGCCAAATCTAATTTCAAATTACATGGAAGAACGAACACATACTTGCTCATGAATGCTACATATTTTTAGTTTAAAAGCTTGTGCTCACTTAAAGGATGTCCTGCCCACTCTTACTAGTTTCCTTAGTTACTAATGCAAACATTTTTTTTTCACACATGGTCATGCGCCGCCTGATGAGGGAGGCAGCGAGGGCAGAGCAGGACACACTGGTCCTGTGTAGGCCTGCATGTCTCTCTGTCTGGCTCATCAGGCGTCAAGTTAACAAACTCCAGACACCGGAGACCACAATCTTCTCCCCCACACCCATCCAGATTAAAACAACCATCTCAGCAGACAACCTCAGATAACCTCCACTTACAAACACTCCTGTCCTTCTTCCAGCCTCCCTTCTCCCCGGCACACTGACATGACGGACGTATGGAGGAAGCAGCGGTGCGCCTACCGCAGACTAGTATCACCACATCTCTAATGTTGCCTGTGACCAAAATATTCCATTATGGTTCTTAGTGCTAAGACCTTGATTAGTGAGTGTGGTGAGAGGCACAACTTGTCGGGCTGCTGAATCAACACTTTTTTGCCAAGTCAGTGTGAAACCACATATACCACTCTACACCCATGTGATGCTGATGGCGACTATGATGGTGATGAGAAGGGGTTGGAAGAGAACAAGAAGTCTCCCATGCTTTCAACTCTTGCAGCACTTTTCTGTTCTTTTCACAGATACATCGTGTACTGTGTGTTGCCTTCTTAAATAAAGCTATTGGTTGACAGCCTTCAAACCCCCTTGCTGTGCCTCTTATCAATAGACAGACATATGAGACGCCTGCATGGCATTCGTCCTAATCTCTGGGTGCATAACATACTTTACTGTGGAACACTCTGATAACTACAGAGGGCAAAGGAGCCCAAAAAGCATCAGAGGGAGTGGCGGAGGAACAGTGTGTACTTTATGTGATGTTGTGTAATTCATGGCTGTTTCACTGTAACTTCCATTTTCAGCAGAAAAGTATTTCAAATAAGGGAAGAATCTGCAGATTAATATCCTGGAGCCGGAGGCAACTTAAGATAAAGACAGAGACACATTTATCATGGTGGTCTGCACCACCAGCTCTGCTATCTCGCTGAGCAGCAAGTGAGGTCAGAATCTAAGAGCTACCAGTGAAGCTACCAAGACAGGTACCTAAACCCTGAAAAGGTCTGTTTATCATGTAGACCCACAGCTAAGGAGCTTAAGCCATTTGCAGCTTACAATATGAGTGGCGGCTTATGACCATAAATACCTGAGTGCTGTAGCCACAGTCTCTCTGCCCTTGTGTAGCCACGTAACACAACAACCGGTTACGGCTTACTTTTCTCCCCCAAATTCTTGGAAAAAAACTGGAGCAGGTTACGTAAACAGCAATGGATTTACTGCACAGCCCAATAACTTAATGTCCTCAGCTACTTAAGCTAAGAACTGGTAAAGTAAACGTAGGTAAAGGATGCAACATCACCAGATGACAGGCAGAGGAAGTAGAGTGCCGTTAGTGTGGCTGACATCGTGTCGCTTTCACCAGGGGTTAAACTACTTTAATAGCAGGGGCGTGTTTGTGAAAGAGAAAAAATCCTTAGCATACTGTATATGGCAATGAGAGTGTTGGTTTTAAAATGGCGCATTGACGTCTTAAGTCAGTGGAAAGTGTATGATGCATCAATGACAAAAACTTGGTTATACACTTTTTTAAGGATGCATTACTAAGAAAGGTATATGCTCCTACAAACATATACTATGCATGTTACAGTAAAGACCCTAATGAATTCTGATAATTATAATTCTGCAATCATGGCCTTGCACATATTATACACATGCAGGTATTAAATCACACTTACATCCTCTGCAGAGAGATGTTCTTTCTCACAACCTGGAAATTCCATCTTTATAATATATATCACCATAGGTGCAAATGCACCTGGCTTTTTGAGGGAAAGGGCAGAGGTTCACTGATTGTTTTACGTATAATAAGTTCAAAATATATCCATGATCAGCTAAGAGACCCTTTACAACAAGTACTAGCCTTTCTAACGGAGCTAAATTAATGTAAGAATCATCACCAAAGTGACAAAGGATGGAATCAAGATTTCAGTTTTATATTTTCAGTGATTAATGACGAGCTGCAGGATGCCTAAATGAGGGACTCTCCATCTGTGGCACATTACATAACACGTTGCTGCCAAGACCTGTGCTCCTAACTGTCACGCACAGCAGGGACATTAAATCCCTCACTAACAAAAAGACAACAAGGCATGGCCGTGAGGCAGTGAGCTCCGGTGGACTTGAGCCTTAACACAGATTGATTTATAATGCAACTGGTTATTAAGAGGAAACCACATCTAATGCTGCTGATAATCCCCTGCCAGTTTGTGGGAGTCACCTGAAACTCAAAGAAAGAACGTGCACAGTCATGCAGTACAATGAAGTCTCAATAGATGGTGGCTGGGTTTAGAAAAGACCTTAAACATTGTAAAAATATATTAGATGGAAACAAATGCTCTTGTGATTTAGACCAATAAAATGCTTCAATTCAACTTCCTCTCCCTGTGCTCCTTGTGATAACCGCCCTTTGTTGGCCTCTATAGGTGAGGAATAAATAGGAGACACTTTTTGGTGCCTTCTTATTGATAGGAAATGATCCACCATGTTCATTACGTCCATATTACATAACTAACAAAAATAGTGAGAATTGAGGCGTGTAAAAATCCTCCAACACACACATATTCGCTCCTACAACCTGAATGGCAGGACTTGCAGGCTCACCACTGACACAGCCAGCCTTCCCTTTCCTCTTGAGACAATGGGGCACTTCCACTCTACCAGTGTGTGTGTGTGTGTGTGTGTGTGTGTGTGTCTCTTTCATGTGTGTGTTCCTGTGCCTTGTGCTCCTGATGGGCCCCAGATGGGTACTCAGGCAGGCAGGCTCTGCCTT